ATTTTCACAATAGACATTTATACACCATTGGATAGAGAATTTAAAGGGCTACATTTTGGACTATTTATTTTTTAAAACACTCGAAATCGACTTTTTGGCCTAATGTCCGCTTAGTTGCCCACTGTGCGTTAGGTCGTAGATAGAATATTTATATAAAGTCGTAAAGTCGTACTGTTATACTACTCAGTCGTAAAGTCGTTAAGTCGTAGATAGAATATTTATATAAAGTCGTTAAGTCGTATAGTCGTACTGCTATACGACTCAGTCGTAAAGTCGTAATGGATACTAAAGTCTTTACGACTTAACGATTCGGACAGGACTCGATAATAGTGGCTGATCGTGATTTACAAGAAGTTTTACCATCAGTAGCAAGACTTTTTGTAGCATACACTTTTTATTATTATTCAAATGAAACGTTAAAATTAAAAGCAATGGGTATGCGAACCTTGCAAATATTTGATAAATTGGTTGATAATATTTTGCAATTTGGAAATGAAAACAAACGAATATTACATGTTAAATATCAGGATCTCATGAAAAATCCAACTGATGTTGTTCATCGAATCTACGAACATTTTGGTTATCAATTAACATTAGATTTTGATCAAAAAATGGAAAGATGGGTAATTGATAATCCACAAGGCGCACAAGGGAGAAATGATTACAATTTAGAACAATTTGGATTAGATGCTGAAGAAATTGATAAACGATATGAGAAATATTCGAAACTTTTTCTTTAGGGGGATGGTCCCTTACTCGGTTTTTTTCACCAGTTGGTAGGGGCCACTTCGGAGTATATGTCTCAGCAAAGCTTTCGGTTCCCGGATTGTGAATTTTTTTTCGGGTTTTTTGCCATATTTTTAAAATTTTAATAAAAGCTTCGGTTTTATTACTCAGTTTTATTACCTCAGTTTTATACGCCTCAGTATTATAAATTTTATAAATTCATTATAAACAACTTTTACACTCACATTTCTGCTTCGAAATGCTTCCCCGCAGAGAAACTGTAGACAAGATCTCGCAAAAGCACACTTTTGACTCCAAAAAACCATTCTCAAGGTCAAGTCCGAATTTCTCCGCCAAACATTGTCCGAGAACGACGGCGATCTTTTCACAGATACATCCCGAGACACTATCGATTGGTTGCAAAACCGAGGTTCCACACTGAAAACTAAAAATTTTATTTAGATTTTAAAATATGGGCAAAAAAATGAAAACTTTTTTTCTAGAAAACTGCAAGTCTGTAAACCTCCGAACTTTTTTCATATATGTTTTGAAGTGTGCTCTACAAACCGACAATGTTTGAATCAAATCTAAATGGGGCGACCCCCCTTAAGGGTACCCTCCCCCTCTTTTTTATAAAAATTTCGGATTTTGAGCTGAGCATAGCCTAATATAGAGGAAAGTGTGGGCTACAAAATAAGACCACTCCCAGTACTCCCCGACCTTTTCTCAAAAAGTTATGGATTTTTGAAGTTTTTCCTTGAAAATCTAAAAAAACTCAACTTTTTAGTTTCATAAACTTTTCTCTCATTTTCTGTACATGCAAAATTTTCTTACACATGGTCTGGTAGAAGAAAGTGTTTTCTTCACAATGAGACGTTTTACAGAATTTTCCGATGAGTTTTCGCGGAGGTATAAGCATCGCGGCAAATACTCTGAAAAAAGTGACCTGTGTAGAAAATGCGTTTTTTCTCGAAAACTATTTTTTTGCTGCCAGGCTTCATTGTGCCACATTACGACCCCCCTTAAAATTCATCTGATCGAGTTCAAAATTTTACCAGAGGTGCTCAAGACACTATTGCAGAGCTATTTTTTGGGAATTTTATTTTAGACATTTCTTTACCGAGTTATAGGGTTTCTAAAACTGAAAAACTTGGTTTTTGAGACATTTTTCAGTATTTTTCCTATAACTCGGCCAGGGAAGGTCTGAAAAAAATTTCCGAAAAATTAGCTCTGTGGAATGACCTTGAGTGCCTCTGGTAAAATTTTGAACGCGATCCGATGAAATTTAAGGGGGGTCGTAATGTGGCACAATGAAAAACCGAGTTTTCTGAAAAACTGGTGAACGGTAATACTTCAAAACTTGAAACAAGAACGAAAAAGTGCTCCATTGAGTTTCGGATCAGTTCTGAAAATACGAAGCCCTAGCGACTTTTAGTTTTTATTTCACAGCATTTCTACGGAAAGCCCAAAAAGAGGGGAGGGGTACCCTTAAGCCAATTTAATTTATCGTTGACCTGTAACCGAAGACGCTTTTTTTCTATGCTACAATGTTATTATGCTATGAACCAAGTGTATTGACATTCAAAAAGCATGAAAGAAAAAGGGAGATCAAAAGGCATTGTTGACAAAAAAACTTCATGCATTGGTATTCAATGAAATCTCATTTAAAACGTTATGATTTTGAATGACGAGTCAAAAAAGTCAACGGAGTTATGAAAAAATGTTTCTGTATGAAAGGATATCATTCCCCTGTTCCTCCAGGATGTAGAAAATTTTTTTCAAAATATCAAGTCGAATTACGACAAGAAATTAATCGTGACGATCTAGAAGCTTGGAAATATACGCTTAGGATGGTATTTGAATACATTTGAGCTTATTATAAATCAAAAATAGCCGAAACACCCGCGACCTTTTTCCTGGTCTGTCTTAAAAACCACTAGCTCGAAACACTAATCCGAGCGAAAATTTGAAATACCCTCATTAACACATCAGTTTGTACTAGAAACCATCGAAGAGACAACTAGAAAGCCAACTGTCCTTTGGGAAGATTGAAAAATCAACTGAGTGAAACGATAAACAGACGAAATTAGAACATCCAGAAAGTCATAACAGTTTGACTATTTTTCAAGAAGAATGTACATTGCTATATCAGCTGATTCATTATCGTGTCATACGTTTTGCTATAGCTTGCATCATATCAAGGACTGTAGTATACATTCATTATGAAAGATATCACGTGATGATTAATTATCTCATAGGATAAACGATAGAGTTTTCTAAAAAAAACCTTTGCTCATTCTGTGGGACTAATTACAGGATAATTAAACAAATACCTAAAAACTAACTCGAGATGTGTCGTCTACGATCCCTGAACTTTCAAATGATCTTTTCATCAAATATATACGGTTAGAGATTCGGTGCTGAATCTGACCGGAATCAACTCTGAAAGTTCGAAGATTATCTTTTCAGAAAATTCAGTCCTGATTCCGTCACCAGATTCAGAGCTGAATGAACTGCTCAAAATTTCCATATTTGCACCAGAAGATATATTTTAATGAAGTATGATGCTGCTCTGATAAAACTGCATAGATGATTCAGCTTTTCATACCGAGGTCGACTATTGTAGTAATTTAGAGTGTTTTCCGTGTTAGTTGTTCAAATTCTTATCGAAAGAAATATTCCGTGTTCTCAAGCTTAAAACTGATTTCTTTTTGCATTTTACAGAGAACTAATAAAGTTATTTGAAATTTTGCGTTCACAAAGACAAAATCACTCATCAACACAGTGTTCAACTTACTTTTTCAGGTACAGTCAAGAAATTGTGTGAAACTAAGCAAATTTCACCCTTATGCTCATTCAGTTTTCGTGTCGTCATTGTTCGAATAACTGGTGTTGTGAAAAAATGTTTTATGTTATCGATTAAAAATCCATCATATCATCTTTTTATAATACCTGGGTTAGAGATTCACGAATTGGGATATAAATATGCAACATCTTTGGCTCTTGATACTTGCGTAGTCGCTGAACGTTGCACAGGTGATGGCGGCATTGATGAGGATAGAACTATTTCTTTTGGTGGTAAATAATCAAAGAATTTTTCACACATTTTGATAAATTGATATTCACTTCTTGTGGTTCGTTGAACGACATCTGTAACATCATTTATTATTTGGGACAGAAATATTTATTGTCGTATACTTATAATATAATTGTATTAACCTTTTATTATATATATATATATAAATATATTAACTTAATAAAAAAATTTTTTAGATTTTCATCTCCCGTAAAATATTCTAAACAAAATAATGGAGACCTAAAAAAATAATAATAAAAAGCACTAATAAAAATAATAGATCAGAGCAATAATAAAGTAATTCTATAAACTTATATCGCTCTTAATTATTTATCTTATATAATTTTTAACATACGGGGAACCCTATGTATAATCCTGTATCGAGTCATGATAGACACCTGAGAATCTTTTTAACATATGGGTACCATATGTATAACGCAAAATCAATAAACAATTTTAAAGTAGTACTATCAACTTATACCGCTCTTCATTATTTACCTTTTATAATTTTTAACATCTGTAGTCCAGATGTATAATCCTGTATCGGATCATGGTAGATACCTGAGAATCTTTTTAACATATGTAATATGTATAATCCAAAATTAATAAAATTAAAAAAGAATTAATGTTCCCATCCCATCGAAACCACTTTTTTACCAAAGTATGCCCACCTCTAATTCCAAACTGGTTTGCAATGAAACGAAAGCTGTAATTAGCACGATTTCGTTTGTAATACTCAAGTACAGATTGCTTGTACTCGGGACTATAATAACGTTGTTTTTTATTCATTATCTATAATAATAACATAGAAAAAATATAATGACCGGAATAATATCACCGAAAATGAGCAAAGAAAAATTGACACTACTTCTCACTTTATTAGTTTCTCATTAATCAAGTAGTCTATTGTATGTTTCCTGTATGCATACTGGTAGGGCGTGTCTATTAGAATACAAATATATTAATAGAAAAATCACAACTTTTCTTTTATCAATAAAATAGTATATACAAAAAGTGGCGAAATACTTTTGTCGTCTACTGTACTTTATATTACGATACTACTTTTCAGTTAGGAGATTCTTATGTCTCAGTAAGTTACTCCAAACTCGTAAACTAGAAACAGACACTAACTTTGTTTTCAAATGGAAGAACAACATGTCACACAACACATGGATGATGTTCTCAATTTATTACGAGTCAATCGAAGCAACTATTTTTAATCGATTATGAACAAATGAAAAAGCGGTGGAGTCCACGATTTAAGAAATATTTTGAAGCGTGGCATTTACCACATATTGATGAATTTGGCACTTTGCTTCTTCAGCACTAGTCTTCTTGAGGAAAGTTCTTTACCAGAATAATATTTTAACGGGTTTTCTCACAGCTTCTTTTCTTGATTTAGGGGGTTGGATTGGTCGAAGTTATGAAGTGTTTGATGAAATATCCGGTGTAACATCAAACCCAATAGAAAGTATCAATGCAGTTGTAAAAAAGTTGGTATCGTGGGAACATTAGTTAGTCGATGTTTTTGTTCAAATGATGTATCTGTATATGGGATTCTACATTAATGAAGTAAAGCGTGGCTTTTGTGATATGGGTAAATATCTTATTTTGCAGTTTTGATTTTACACACGTATCGTGCTTTCTCTCAACTTATGTTTTATAGGAACCTATCAGTTGACAGAAGCATACAAAAATCTTAAAACTGATCCATCTTTATTATCTTTGGTGGTATCATATAATCCGGATGACATTCTAAAGAAAATGAAAGAATTCCTAACGTTCCAGCCTTCATCCCAAGCAGACAAACATTTGGAAAAACGCGTTTAAACGCTCAAAAGGGAACCGCGATTGTGAGTCAGTAACGCTCATTAAAAAAACGCAAGAAACGCGTTTTTTGCGCAAAATTTTCACTTTCAGA